AAGGACATAAGGGGGGCATAAAGAAAATGCAAATAACATTTTTTCCATTTTATACTCAAAGTAGAATTAATTCCTTTTTTGTCTAATAACGGGAATGTGATATATATCCCGCAATGTTCGTTTACGTGGAATAGTTTGCATTACATGTTGTTGTTACAAGTGTGTTGTAACACACGACTGCTATTGGAACAAAATGACAAATATATAACTATATGTTACGATTGTTACGTATAGTTTGTGACTAAACTGTGGTTCACTTTACAAACTATACGATTCTTACTAAAAAATGAAGAATAATATTATTGGAAAAATATATATTTTCAAACTATTCTTCCCGTCTTTTCGCTGCTTCTCTGCTTTGCGTAAAATGCGCTAGTAAGCGCTGGAGTACAGCAATAAATTCATAAAACCTACCTCTGAAACGACTCAGAGCTTTCATGTTAAAATTTACGACGGAACTTAAAGCGCGCCAAGTATCAGAATGCGGTTTTCAATGTTCTTATGATGGACGGCAGTAAACGTTCGGCTGGATGGCCGGTCGTCAGGACGTGGAAGAGCTGAGATCGTACGCTTTTACAACCTGAACACCATGTGTTGGATATTGTTGAGGTTAATGGACAAAATGCCCATTTTGTAAAGATCCAACTTTCTCTTAAGAACTGCGAATTTGATCCGTGTTTCGACAAGAAAGTACACACACTAAATCATTTCGCTTCAGTTTCACGATTCAATCAGCCGTTTTCATTAACTCGTCTTGAATATAAAAAACGTATATTTCACAAAAGAGTAGAGAAAAAAATACATTTTAACGTTTTCCTTTCGCTTGAAATAAAAGATCCTGTCAGAATTCTCCTGTAAGAACAGACATATAATATACAAAAAAATGTACAAAAAATGAAATTGAGGATCAACTCCAGCTTGCTTTTGTTTAAAGTGTAATTGAAATGAAATTGTTTTTTATGCAAAGGGGGTCAGCTTAACTCTGAAATTTTTTGACCATCATTCCATTAACGAATTCTCTCTCCTGCGTACCGTCCACAAACGACGGCTCATACTTTCAGCGATTGTCCGCCAACAAAGCGAGACGGTCGCTAAGGCGATGGCACAACACCGGTGGCCGCTGCGAGGCGCCGGTTGCTCGCGGTTTTCGGCATCGCCGCCCGTCGCCCGACCACCCCCCGGGTCCCCGCGCCGCCCGCTCGATGCCCGTCCCCGCCTGCAGCGCCTGAAGCCCCTCGCGCGGCGCCGGGCGTGATGGGCCTTGGCGCTCGCTTGACGCGCGCGCCGCTTCTGCGTCTGCCGGTTCCTCGGTGGACTCGCACCGCGGGCGGCTGACCACGCCGGTGCACCGTCACATGCCGCGCAATACGCGGCGGCAGTGCTTTCAATAACCAGTGGGCGGTGCCAGTTGATTCATGCCATGACTCGTCTGCTATATATGCTGCACAAGGTCTAAATTTCTGTCTAATGAAATGCGAAGCAGGCGTAAACGAAAAATTAGGGTTACCCTCTCGTAAATAGAGCATAATATGTAAGGAGAAAACAAATTCCTTATTGAAAAATGAGTTGGAGTTTGATCGAAACTTAGTATGAGTTCATCTGTGTAATTGTTGCTGATATCTGAATATACTTGTTTTCTTCTCCAGAAACCTATAATATTTGATATTGAAATACAAGTGAGAAATGAGAAAACCCAAGGGCAGATAAGAGCGTTCTCCGATGTTGTCCACCCCGTAGACGTCACAGGAGAGCTTCCATATCCTCCGCGTCCATGTTGCACGAATGTTGTGGCCTGGTTCAAGACCCGAGCGAGGGATGGCGCGAACAGGATTTCTGGCTGGTCACGTACCACGGCACAGACGCGCACGGCAACAGCTTGGTGACGTGGTTCGACCCGCGCGTGGTGGCGTACGTGACGACGGCCGTGGCGCTGATGCCGCCGCCGTGGTCGCGACACATGCGCGGGCGCGGGCGGGAGCGCGAGCGCTCGCGCAGGAGCACGACGTCGCAGACGGCCATGACGTCGCGCGGCCGCCGCCGCTCCAGCGACGCCGCGTCCATCGGCTCGCGCTCCAACGACGCCTCCTCCACCGCGGCCGGCGCCTCGTCGCGCGGCGGCTCGCACCCCACGCAGCGGCGCCTCTCCGCCGCCTCCGTCAGCGCCGCCGGTGCGTCAGCGCCCGCGCGAAAGCGCTCGTGCAGGCCTGCTCATACTGCGACGTAGACTTATAGCACACTCGTGTGTGTTGATTTGCAGGAGGCCTAGCGTTGCCACCACTATAAGCGGAGCAGACGTGTTTTAAAGATCGCTGCACGCTTCAAAGAAGTAATAATAATACACTTTAACCCACATTTGACACATGATGGTCACGCGAATTCTGAGAAGTGAGAAGGGTTAATTTGATCATACATTTGCTGTCTGCAAGATGTAATTTCAGCCTATTTGAAGGTTGCAGCTAACCCTGCCACGGCTCGGTGCCGGCGTGCGCAGGGCCGTCGCGCGGCGTCGCCGGCCGGTGGCGGCGCGGGCGAGCGGGCGGCGGCGCGTCGCCAGCAGCCGGCCCAGCGGCCGCTCCGGCCGCCGGCTCGTCGGGCGCCGGGGTGTCGGGCGCGCTGGGCGGCTGCGGCAACACCGCGCCGCCCCTGCGATGTCGTCGCGCAGCCGCGCCAGCAGCGCGCAGGGCGGGCCGGCGGGCCCCGGGCGCGACGCGCAGACGCGCGGCCGCAGCAGGCGCAGCACCTGACCCACCGCCAGCAGGCGAGCCCTTCAGCGAGGTTTTGTTCTTTCAAGGGTCGAGTTGGGCGCGGCTCGGGCGACAAAAGCGGACTGCACAAATTACCTCGCCAACGTGTTGCACATTCGGTGTTTTAATTCACGAAATGGGTTTCGCGTACGCTTCGCGATGTTTCGCGCACGTTTCGTAATATTTGCCACACTATTCGTTAGAATTTTTAGAAAAGAGCAGTTTCGTACACGGAAAATCAGCACATGACACCCTGTGTTGTGCGCTGTAACGTGTTAAATAGAAATGTAATGAAATATTGCTTTTGTAACAATAATAATATTATAACAATAGTAATTGAAACATTTAAATGAATGGTAAAAATAAAAAGTCCACAACGCTTAAATTAACCAATAAATATTATAAAATTTAAGTTATTTGCTTTCAATTTTGATTCGAACTACAACATTGAGTTAAGAAGAATATTACATTTAGTTTTTGAAAGCAGCCAGTACGTGAAAATGGCCCCTGATAAGGCATTTTTTCCAAAATGTATCAAAGTCAAATATCCAACTTCATCTATAGTATGGAGTTGTATGTCAGGTCATAGATGTAAGAGATTAGACACTGTTGAGGGCACAATACGAGTAGACCAGAATGGTCAAACCCACCAGCTGCGTCTGATCAGAGATTGGTTTTCTGAAAATATATTGTATTTCTATGCCCGACGGAACACCATGCCATTAGGCCGAGTCTGTTAAGAAATTCTTAGAGGAAATAACACGACCATTCCTTGGTCGGATAATAGCCCAGACTGCAACCCAATTGAAAATTTATGAAAAATTATAAAATTGAAGAAATTAATAACAGACTCATCGGAAACATCATAAACATACTGTTTCGTAATGAACACATTCAGACAATATGCAAGGCCGTTGTGGAAAGCATTTCAGAGAGGATACAAATGGTTATCAATAACAAGGGAATGCCCCCACAAACACTAAAGAGGTCGTCGTGTATTGATAAATTGTGATAATTATATTTCAAATATAAATTACTTTTATTTCAACTATTCTTATAATTTGCATTTATGTTCAAGACGACATAAAATGCATTTTGCTGTATTTCGTTCTTTTTCCACAATTTATGCAAATGTATTTTTTGACATCTCTCACAACGTTAATATGCACATTTGCAACAATTTGTTTTTAACTTATTACATGTGTACATTATTGCATTTGTGAGTGGAAGTGCTTTAAATGATCTGTAATGACGTTTCTCGAAAATTCAAAAGTATTCTGTGTAAAAAAGGTTATAATTTTGTATTTACAGTAATGCATAATTTTTTCCTTATAAACGGCTCCATATATGTCAATGAAATTTTTATTATAAGACGAGTTTACAGTTCTCTAATATTATTAAATATTTGGGTTCTGTCATTAAGAAACCGAAAACTGGAGAAAAGTTTAAAATATGTATTTTAGGAGGCGATAAATGGTTCTTTGGGCAGCTAGCAAGAGGATGAGGGAAGGCCAAAATACTAGCCCAGACCAAAACCATTAACAAACTAGTACGAGAAAGTCTGTGCCATTTTGTATCTCCACTATTTTATTACTATTTTCTCTCATCTCAAATAAGACAATATCTATCGATTACTGAATGAATGGAAATGGTATATTCTTGAGCACTCTTCTATCATAGTATAAATATTTACAATGGGAGTAAATATTATATATTTAAGGCTGCTCATTTAAATATGAGTAAAATTAATTTTAAATATGTTGGAAGTTTTAAATTTGCCTTTCTTCAAAATCAACATTTTGTAAATTTGATAATATAGTTAAATTTAATTCTGCGGTCCAATCTGGCCGTTGTTGAATTCCAACAAATCCGTAGCATTCTAAATTACAAGAACTTTTATTCTGTCCAGCCTTAAAAAGTTTCTTCAGAAAAAAGTACGAGGATAATCTCATCAATCCTTGAATTAAATTGTAGCTACCAACAGTCTTTTCTAATTCTGATTACAGAATCTGAAAACCATGAAAAATAAGAGAGAGTGGACGCAGCTATCCTTACCAACACCTTTCTCCGGGTTCAACTTCTTCTGCACATTGTGACCTCAGAGAGATAAGCTCGCAAGGTAACGAAATTAATTAAAAAGCAGACTAAAATGTAGATTTATGACAAACGTTTTCACTGCTTGAGCGTGCTCAAATTCATGTTCTAGACGCATTTTGGAAAGAGAACCAGCAACTGACGTTCAGTTTGGATCCCCAGGAATACTCTTGGAATCCGCAACAGAAACATCTAAATACGCCCCAAGTAATCTTATGCGCTGCAAGAATAGCGTCATTTCCCATTCTCCAACCGCTCGGTCAACTTATCAAGAACAATACAAGATCCTGCCATTCGCACAAATCTCCTCTAAGTGACTGGCTTCCGAAGGACTCAACAGGTGCATCCAGGTTAGCAGGATGCTCCTTGGGAAAAAAACGCGAAAGAAAACCATCCTCATGAGCAAACCGTTCTGCAATGAAATAGTCCACAGTATTGCAAAGATACCTTCAAAGCCAAAAAGCGGTTGTACTCGAGGAACTTGGCGTAGTGTGACTTACGTGTTGAACAGATACTTCACGAGTACTTTGAAGGAGTCTTTTGTGATTTCAAAGTATCATAAAAAATAAAAATAAATTACCTTCTTCGAAAGAAAAAAATACTAACAAATAAAATATTGTTTTAAAAACAAATAAATGTTTTTTGATTTCATAATATAAGAAGTTTTACAAAATAAACAAGATACAGATTACTCTAAAAGTATTAATATATTTGCTAAATAAAATTTTTTTATAATCACTATTTGCTGTGATCTACATCAGATGTTGCAAGAAAGTAATATATTATACACACATTCTCATATCTAGATATATGTCTTCAAACACTGCTAAAAAAAGTGGCGAAAATGGAGAATTTTTAATCACATATTTGTATCACGTATCTAATATCATGATTCTTATATCCCATACGTCCTTGATTTTTCTCTGAAACCTGATATAAAATTCGAATAAAATAATAATAAAATGTTAATAAAAATCAATTATGACTGTCACTATTTAGTAGCATATCGGATCTGTAAGAATTAAACCAATCACTATTTGCTCTTGGACAGATTGACGATTCCAGAAAATTACGGTGGTTATACGTTGTATTTTCTCGTGTATTTATAATAATAAATATGTCCTTGTTAATAGTGTCAGAGAGAATAAACATTTCCTATGTTCGATACAAAATTTCGCAAAAAATACTCATGTTTTTTAAAAATTGATCATGACATTATTAATGAACACATTTCATTAAAACAATTGTCAAAACAATCTTCATAATTGTAGTTGTAGAAAGACGGCAAACAATTCTCATATTTTCAAATTTTGAAAAATGAGGATTTTTAACCACCATGAAACCCACATCATTCTCTTAAACGACTTTCAGACTATCAACCAATACAATTTTATCCAAATAATGTAGCCGTTTTTGAGAAAAATATTGATTAACCAAAAATTAAAAATTGTCTATGTTTCAGGCAAAACAACGTGAAAATTTGAGTTTGTAACCAACATGAGACCTGCGTCATTTCGTTAAATATCCTTTAGACTATATACCAACAAAATGTAATCAAAATTGTTGGCACAATGTTTTTTAATTTTGAAAATGTCCCAGAGGCTTTATATAAATTTCCATCCTAAATTAAAAGGACGATTTCAAATTGAAGAGGCTACGATATCGTTCGGGGAATATCAATTTTGGAGAAAATCTGCTGAAGATTTTAGACGCTAGGGAGTTTCACTGATGGACAGACGTTTTGCAGTCAAACGACTTTTTGGTATCGAGGACCCACAAAACATGGATTTTGGCTACACAGTGTGTCAAAGGAGTTTATTTCTAAATTTAGCATATGGATTCTCTTCTTATGTTCCTTCTTAAGCGCGAGGAAGTATAAAATTCATAAACAAGTTTTTCCCCCAAAACGGTTCTAATTTTATTGTTTATATTATATGCTTCAATGGTGCAGATCTTGCCCTCCATTATGAATGGCAGAATGGCTTCGATATGGTTTGGATAATCTGTGAAATTTCAAAAATTTCAATAGTATAAAATTTCCGATACTATCCTAAAACCTATATTAATATTGCGTTTGTTTTCTTAATATTTGTAATTTTCACGTAATTTTTCATAAGTGTATTGTAACGAATTTATTTTCGAACATGATTTATAATTTGGCGTTTGGGTAGCGAAAAGAAGGCACCCACACGAGCTCTATTTAAAACATGTATATTTAGTTCAGCAAAAATGTCAATTTCATGAAAACGTTTTCAAAAATTAGAGATATGAATATTTTTAGTTCCTTGTGTTGTTTCAATTATAGTTTTTCCAGAGATGGTAAAGTATTAGTAGGATAGAATATGCAATATTGTAATATTGCGTAACCATTACAAGTGAACAGATATGGTGTTCTGTTTTACCACCACTAATAAATGGTATGGTTCTCTTCTTGTCCCCCAAGGTAATTCCTGACGACTTTGAATGACGCTGTTTAAGGAGAGTATGTTTAGCTGCGGAACTGTGAGCGCACAGTCGAGGGAGCCGTTGCCAGCTCCTTCGTTAGCCGCTCCCTCCGCCGGCGCCTCTGGTCGCGTTCCGCGCCGCAGAACCCTCCCTCCCCGGGGCGAAGGCGCCTGCCCCTGCCCACAGACGGCTCGCCCTTTGACACGTGATCAGGCGCGGGGGCGGCAGCGACGCAGCCGTCGGCGACGAGGGGCGAAGGGGGGGGGCTGAGGCACGCGCCGCCCTCGGCTCTTTAGGAGCCCGACGCCGCAGCATCGCCTGCGCTGCAACGCAGGGGCGTTCGGAAAGCGGGAGGTGTCTCGGGTGCAAAGGCTAGCACGTGAAAGTCAAGCTGCGCACATGAAGAGCTTCAAGACATCATCTTAAAGCTGTAACGTAATAAGAAAGATCCTCGTCTCTCAATATTCGGTACAAAACATTTTTTCGCTTTTAATTACACAATTATTAGTAGGCCAATTTACAAGATCTTTAAGATAGCTTCCCAACACATTGATCAACACATTTAAAAATGTGTAAGTATATGAACAATGTATGAAAAACATTCAAGTTGTTATATTTGCTAATCTTTCTTGATTGCCACTTGAAGCAGATTGCTGTTCTGCATATCTAGAGAATGTAAAATTCTGTCACTTGTGTTTTGAGAGGGAAGTTTTAAAATGCATTTCCCGTGAAAATCAATTATTCACGAGCCCAAAGCATTCGGTGTCATCGGATTTGGCTCGCCTTTGTGCCGAATTTTACGTTCCTCGCGCTCAGACCGGCGCACCGTGGACCAATTAATTATTGACGTCGCTATGCAACTGTGCAGTATTCATCTGTCGACGCTCAGTGGTATACGCGAATCACCGATAAACAGTCGAAAAGGCGTTCTTTGTCAATTTGAAGGCAACAAATGTGTCCTCACTGGCGTGTTGATGCTAGTTTTCGCCACACGTCATCACAAAAATTGATCGGACGCCCGTCACATGTTTTAAATACTTCTGTAAAGAATGTATATTTGATTTTTAATTCATCGATACTACTTACGAAATATAAAGTATTTTATTACTGGGGGAGAAAGGCCAATTCTTTTTTTTTTACACAACAACACATTGCCGGGCCCAGGTAAAGAAAATGTGGATAAATATTCTCCCAATATAAAGTAAATTACTTCCTCTATAACGTTTTGCAGTCCGAATCCATGTTTTGTGGGTCCTTGATACCGAAAAGTCTCTTGCCGGCAAAACATCAGACTGTTCGTCTGTCTGTCCGTCCGTCTGTTCGTCCATCTCTCCGTCCGTTCGTCTTTCCGTCTGTCAACAACAATAGCAGCTAAACCGTAAGCAGAATGTTCACCAAAATTTATATTCCCCATTGAATTAGAAACCGTTATTTTAATTTCGGGAAGTATAAAATATTGATGATCCAGATTTTTTCTTTCATTTAAAATACCTTCCTATACAGTTTTTCAAAAATTTGAGTCCTTTTCCGTCCAATATTGCGTGAAAAATAGGCAATTTTAAATTTTGTTTAAACAATATTTTTTTCTGAACTCAGTACAGAATTGTTTGAATAAATTTTGACTTGAATAATGCAAAGAAAGCGTAAGGAAATTGTGCAGGTTTTATTTTTGGTGAGTTTTTGAACACTGAAAAAATTCTAAAATATTCGGCTTCTTCTTGGAACTACAATTAAGCAGATAATATTTTCTTGGTGGAATATGTGTATCAAAAACAGATATTTAAGTAAGGTCATGTTCAGTTTTTCAAAAACGTGAGTATTTTTGCGTAATTTTATGTGGAGCATAGGACATTTTAAAATATTAAACAATTATTTTTTCAGAAACGGCTACAAATGTTTCCTTAATTTTTTCACGTGCGAACAAAGAACGGCAATGAAGGTGGTGGTGATTCCGTTTTCAGCGCACTTTCTGTATTTTTGAAAATCGGGGAACAATTTCAAATGTCAGATTTCGACTTCCCGCGCTTCGTTTTCAAGGCGGCGCCATTACGAATTCGTAAAAGGCAGTCGCGTCGTGTAGCGTCAACATGTAATTGTAATAATAATCTTAATTGAAAGTATCCAAATTTGGTTTTCTCTTAAACCTGAAGTAGTCACCTGAGGTCAATTGACACACCAGCTTTCAATAATTTACTGCATTTTTTACTTCGTGGTTGGCAGCAATGTTCCGCCTTTGTATACCTTCGTAGAAATCTCTTAGTAGTTCTTACTAACTTAGATTACGTGTAGCTGATACAGAGATAAAGCGAAAACGTTGTTTTTTTCTATCCATTGAAATGAAATACATTTTCTCTTATAATGGAAACTTTGACGGTTTTATATTATGAGATAATTTGTTTAAAAACGTTTTATTTAATTACACATCAAATGTTCTTACCAGATATAAGCCTGTTTTTTGCTCGCGAATTGGTTCTTTTTTTACGCCCCAGGGTTGTTTGCTCTGGGGAAAGGGGCATGAAAGGATATAATGATGGCTAAAGATGAATGGACAATCACAAACATGCAGACACACAAACTCCCTACCCCGGCGGGACTCGAAGCCGGGCCCCTCAAGCACGAGACAGCTGCGGCTCTTTAGTCTTAGCGACCTCGGAAGTCCGGGACGGCGGTCACTTATATTTTTCACTGAAAATCGAACTTTAAAGATTTGTATTATCTGTTTTGAAATTCCAAATTTGTGTTCAATATTTGCAAAACAATTTTATCATTTTTACTTTCAGATAACAACGCAAACACCTGATAATGCGTGTAACTTTATGCGAAATGTAATGTGAATAAATTTTTTTTATCAAACACCTTTGATTGTTTAAAA